CCTGCTTGACCTACGCTGGTCTTGTTCTACTTGAGCAGGTTGCTCTTCCATAACTACTTGTGTTTCCTGCTCTAATTCCTCCATAGGTGTATCAATGCTTTGTGGTTCTTGAATTTCTTCAAGCTATATTTTCCTCCCACTGATTCTTTTGGAAATAAAATCCTTTTCCATAAAAACTCCAGTTCGAGCGACAAACACTTTGCCCTCAGAAGGATTGTAGAAGTAATACCCTCTTGTTTCTTTAGGATACCCCACAAATAAGCATTTGTCAGATTTGGGCTCAAGCTTAGTTGAAATTTGTCGTTTCACATAAACTTCGCAACCCCAAATCTTCATGTAAGACATATGTGGTTTCTTACCACTCCATATCTCATATGGTGTCTTCTCAACCTTTTTGGATGGAACCCGGTTAAGTGTGTAAGCTGCAGTCAATAGTGCATGTCCCCAAAAGGAGTTCGGAAGATCGGCGTGACTCATCATGGATCGGACCATGTCTAACAAGGTTCGATTTCTTCTCTCAGATACACCATTCCATTGTGGTGTTCCGGGAGGAGTAAGTTGGGATAAAATCCCACATTCCTTTAGATGGTCATCAAACTCTAGGCTTAAATATTCACCGCCTCGATCTGATCGAAGAAATTTAATATTCTTACCTAGTTGGTTTTGTACTTCATTCTTGAATTCCTTGATCAAAGGTTTCAGATTTGTGTTTCATTAAATACACATAACCATATCTACTGAAATCATCAGTAAATGTGATGAAGTATTGAAAACCTCCTCTGGCTGGTATGTTCAGTGGTCCACATACATCAGTATGTATGAGGTCCAAAAGATCATTAGCCCTTTCACCTTTTCTTGTGAATGGGGACTTTGTCATCTTTCCAATTAAACAAGATCTGCATGTCTCATATGATTCATAATCAAAAGAGTCCAAGAGTCCATCTTTATGGAGTTTGGAAATGCGTTTTTCATTTATGTGGCCTAAGCGACAGTGCCAAAGGTAGCTTGGATTTAACTCATTAGGTTTAATCCGTTTAGTATTAATGTTATAAATTGGAATTTCAAGATCAAGGACATATAGTCCATTGTTCATTTGTGCAGAAGCATAGAATATATCATTCAAATAAATAGAGCAACAATTGTTCTTTATTATAAATGAAAAACAAAACTTGTCCAAACAAGAAACAGAAATAATATTCCTACTAATTGCAGGTACATAATAACAGTTCTCTAACTGAATTATTAAACCACTAGGTAAAGTCAAAACATAAGTTCCTACGACTAAAGCAGCAACCTTTGCTCCATTTCCAACTCGTAGGTCAACTTCACCTTTTGCCAATCTCTACTCCTTTTTAGCCCCTGCACATTAGTACAAATGTGAGAACCGCATCCGGTATCTAATACCCATGATGCAGAAGTAGATAAATTAATTTCAATAACAAAAATACCTGAATTTGAAGTCCCTACTCCATTGTTCATATATTCCAGGTACTTTGGGCAGTTTCTCTTCCAATGTCCGGTCTTACCGCAATGGAAGCAAGTGCCCTCCTTTTCTATGCCTCCACTAGGCTTCAAAGCAGGAACAGTAGGTTTAGGCTTGGCAACTTCCTTGCCTTTCCCTTTACCAACCTGCTTGGTAGGCCTCTTGTTCAACTTCTTTCCATTACTGACCATCAGAATGGACTTCCCTTTTGTCTTCATATTCTGCTCAGCAGTTTTCAACATGCTTAGCAATTCTGGAAGACTCTTATCCATGTCATTCATGTTAAAATTCATGACAAACTGATTAAAGCTATATGGCAACGATTGCAAGATAAAATCATTTGCAAGTTCCTTTCTAAGCGGAAACCCTAACCTTTCAAGGTTCTCCACATACCCAATCATTTTGAGTACATGGGGACCTACAGGGTTTCCCTCAGATAACTTGCTGTTAAAAAGGGCCCTTGAAACCTGAAACCTCTCATTTCTTGCCTGCTCTTGATAGAGCATTTTCAGATGTCCGATCATATCGAATGCTGACATGTTCTCGTGTTGCTTTTGCAACTCCGAGTTCATAGTAGCTAGCATGAGACAAGCGGCTTCGTTAGCATCATCAAAATGCTTCTTATAAGCATCTCTTTCTGCCTTAGGTGCCGAACTAGGCGGTTCCTCTTCAGGAACAGGTGTCTCTAAGACATACAGCTTCTTATCGTGCTTGAGGACAATCCTTAGATTCCGGTGCCAATCCAGGAAATTTGTCCCAGACAATTTTTCCTTATCTAGGATTGATCGCAAAATATGGTTGTTTGTTGTCATGGTAATCTACAAAAAAAATGAAAATATAAGTATCATTAAAACAACATATTTAATTAGGCCTTTAATCAAATATGCTCCCACTATTTTACTCAAACCAAATGACCCTCATCATTTGATTCGGAAAATCTCGTTGGAAGACTTTCTAGTGGGTCGAGATCCACTTTTCACTTTGTTCTAAGTCAGTGTTAGGCTGATTACACAAAACTAGGTTATTTAGGTAGGAACTCCTTCCAATTGTATCTCATACAACTCTCGAATATTTTCAGTTGGGTGAATAACTCCTTATTCTAATTCATCATATGAATCATTCCCAACTCTTGCTTCTAAACATGTATAATCTTATTATAATGTGTTCAGTTAAGTTTGAACCATTGTTTTAGCAGTTGGATATTACAATTATCCCATCGCACCTTACTAATATAGAACATGCACCTCGCGTAGGCGAAACCTACATTGTTCGATACTAGTCTTGATGAGTGCTAAAACTTGGAAAGCATGAACTTAATATTTAACTTGAGGGATTTTGTTATTAGTTTGATCTCACCGGCTTAACATGCAATTTGTCTCTCTCATGCATCAACATACAAACACATGCATCAATATACATAAAAGGATACAATTATGGCCCCTAGCGCAATTGTTCTCCCAAGCCAATGAGAGAACCTAAGTTAACCTAATAACGATCTAAACTTCTCCAAGCAAGATCTCCAAGGTTATCCTCCTTTGATATTGTATTCTTCTCTTTCTTCATAACATTACATTACATAAAAGAAACTCGTTTTACATACGAGGGAGTGAGATGAGAAAAGAAGTTACATCAAGAATTTTAGAGAGAGGCACGACACGCAAGCCGTATTTTACAATCCCAAAACAAAATAAAGGAAAAAACTAAGGCCATAACTGATCACCACAAGACAATAATAATAAACACACTTTTATTATTAGTTTAAATTTTGTTAATTAAAAAAGGCAAATTAAATTTCGACAACTGATCACACTACGCAGAGTTAGCCGGGGTTTCCGCTGCCCGGTCATTTTCGACAATTGAACAATTCATTTGAAATCGGCGTCATTTTCACACAAATCTTGTGCATTCACAACCCTAATCACATAACTCTGCAACAACACAACCCTTGTGCCGTCATGAACCCTAATGCAACAGTTTCATGCTGTCAAACACATTTCGATTGATAATTCAGTATGACTAATCACATGCCATTGCTTCACCATACTAATGTCGGATTCCGAAGCATATGAACAGTGATCGGTCAAAGGAATAACAATCATCAAGTGTTTGAATGAACGAAACAGAAACATTATATCCCATATACCATCGTTGCATCAGATTTACTTATATCATATATAAAGGTGATCGATCTTATTTGTGTAACCTATGGACGATCGATGTATCGCTTCTTCACCATACTAATGTCGGATTCCGAAGCATAGTCAACATCAATCATCCAAATCGTACACAACAGATGCCAAATTTAATTACTCGTTTATTATTCAATTCATTATGGTTTTAATCGAATCAAAACAGAAAATATAGAACATAAACAACTATCAGATCCATGGTTTCGTAAGTGGCTCTGATACCACTGAAGGAAAATTGCATTCAAAAGCGCAGCGGAATTTAAAATTTTCCTTTAGCGATCCTTACGAATGAACATGGTCAGTGATAGAAATATTTACCTCTTGTGGCGATTCAGACCTTTGATGTTGTGATCACAAGCGTTGATGAAGAGCAACGCCTCTACTCAGTCCACACGAACAGATCGCTTCCGGTCACAGTGCTAGCTGATCACGAACGGAGACCTTGAGTGAGAGAGAGAATCAAAAACGAAATTGCATCAAGTGAAATTGCTTCATCACAAGGGATCTATTTATAGAATCACTCGTGTGGGCTACAAGCTAAAAGCCCAATTAAGACTATAAGTTAAAAGCCCAATTAAGCTTATGGACATCATACCTTATGATGTACCATATATCACTTATCCACGTGGTACCTTACCACTTTCCGTATTACACTTAAGTGCACCGTACCTTACGGTGTTCCTTACACTACAACATTTGTTGTCTCTGGCAACACTTTTTTAGGTAACATGTAGAAATTGTTGCCTTAAATTCATATAGGCAACGATTTATGATTGTTGTCAAAAATATGTTTGCAACCCTTGATAATCGTCGCCTAAAATACTTTTGGGGACGTTTATGGAGCGATACTCTTTTATTTTTTTGCCAACGGTTGTTAATTGTGCCCTTAACTGCTTTTGGGGACGATTTTAGAGCGTTAAAATATTATTTCTTTAGCAATGTTTGACAATTATCCCCTAAAATATTTTTGGGGACATTTTTAGATTGTCCCCTAAAATAATTTGATTTTTGATCTCTACATACGATAATTTTTACTACTTAAATATTACCGTACGATTGTGGCGTATCACAAGTTTGAAATAATTTTATGTTTAATTTCTAGAATAGTAATTATGAAGACAATCTTCATTTATGATTCAAAATGTATGCCACTATCTAACAAAGTACTCTCCTTCTCATTGAAGATTTGTTAACAAAAAAAACACAGGGGTAAAAAAAAGGAATACTGAGGGGTATTTTAGCCACAAAAAATATGTTCCAATTAGTGACTATTCTCCTTCTCCTTTGCGCTCATTGCAGGTTTATATTTTCAGCCATAAACCCTTGCCATGGCGGTCACAGCAATTTCAGAAACCTCTCAAATCCACAGATTCCCTCAATACAAATACATCCACGCCGTCCGTTGGCTTCCGGTTCTCTCCGCATTCAACCGCTTCGCCGTTCTCGCTTCCTCCAACTCCGATTCCGACGTCTCTTCCATCGAAATCCACTCTTTCAAACCAAACCCTATTTCCTTCGATTTACATTCTTCATGGGCCTCTCCTTCCCCAATCTTCTCTCTCAAAGCCTCGCAGTTCCTTCAGAAATCAGTCATCGCCGCTTCAACTTCCTCCGGCTCGCTTCACTTCTTGTTCGCCGATTCCAGCGACAGGATGCTTGAATATGAGGTTTCTGTACCGGAGCATGAGCTTCATTCGGTGGGGAAGTCTTGTATTGATTTGATCGATGGTGGCATTGAGTGTGTTACCGTTGGGGATGATGGGAAGGTTAATTTGGTTACGGTGGGAGATTCTAATTTGAATTATAGGAGGTTGTTTGATAGTGATGGGTTGGTCTCGTATACGGCAGTGAAATGGGCTTCGCCGGTGGAGTTTGCTACCGGGGGATATGGATTTGGGCTTCAATGGTGGGATCAGAGGAAACCGGGTGACCCGGTTTCTCAGTTTAAGGGTAACTGGTAAGAAAAATGTTTAACCTTGACTTATGTTGAGACTTGAATTGAATTATTTGAGATAATCCTTTTCATTTTCTTTCTTTAGGATAACTTATGAAACCAACTTATAGATTATATGAAAATAATTTGATTTAATTTTTTAGTTTGTTATAGAAATAGCTTATACATAAGCACTTACATGACACTCAGGGCCTGTTTGGATTGGCTTATTGAAGCTTATATAAGTTTTGTGACATTGGTTGGTAGTCTTAATCATATTTCTTAAAATTTTTTTAGTTTCTTTTTATAAGTTCTCCAAAAACACTTGCAAAAAATAACTTAGAATATATATAAAAAACAATTTAAATATATATTTTTCTTTTATTTTAAAAGTAGCTTATGCAAGCTTATTCATAAGCGCTTATTTTGATTAACATTTGTGCTATAAGCTGTTTATCCAAATAGGCCCTAACTTATGTTATAAGCAATTATATGACAAGTGCCATATGCTTGATTAACAATTGAAGATATTAGTGTTTGTACTTACTGTGTTGTTGGTTTTGTTGCAGGGATACAAAATTGACTTCTGGCATAGTGCACTCTATCAATATTCATCCATCAAGAAAGCATACTTGCCTGGTATCATTGCTATGCCCCCCTTCTTCATTTCCTATTCTATTTACTTTTTGTCTTTCCGAGATTGAAGCAGCGTTGATTTTGGATTTTGGCCAATTTTAGATTAAGTCACGGGGTTTCTTAATTAAAATAAGTTGCTACAAAAAGTGTTTTTATGATGTTAGATATGTTAGTAGAGAAGCTAAAGGACCGAGTTCTGGATGAAAGTTGAGATGAAGAAGTTGCTTTGCAATTTATGCAACTCATGAGCTTTTTTAAAGAAATTTATCCAATTAATTGTTTGAAATATAGTTTCACACCCCCTTACTGGCCTAAACTACAACTTTGTCTTAGTGTCTGTATCTCTGATTTGCTCGTAGTTGCTTCTTTCCGTTTATTAGAGTACTTGTTAAGTATATACCAAATCCAAAAATCCCTTAGACTATGTTTGGATATTGCAAAATTAACGGAGTGAAGTGGAGCGCAATGGAATGGAGTGGAGCAGAATAAAAATGTCTTTCTATTGTTTGGGTATTTCAAGATGGAATAGACCAATTTTCTCATTCCGCCCAAATCGGAGGGTACAAAAAATAAAAGAAAGTGATGGAATGGGATGGAATGCATTCCATCACGTTTCACTCCATTCTATCCCTTTTTTTAACTAATCCAAACAATGGAACATAAGTTTATGACATAACATTCTGCTCCGTTCGGCTCCATTCCATCAATTCAAACATAGCCTTAAGAATTCAATAGCTTGCTATTATTGAAAATATGAATTATGTTGTTTATTCTAATGTTCTCAAGCTCATTTATGAGATATATTCTAATGTTCTTTATTTGTCATACTACAAAAATTAAGGACAAGTTTGATTCATGAGAGTTTTAACATTTCGGTAATAAAAAGTGTTTTGCAATAAGTACCGGTTGAATTTGAACGATTCTTCATTTCTTCAATTCTTTGATAAGAATTCATTAGATTAATGATTTAAAAAGTTGGGTGACTCTTTGTTTAGCACTTTTATAGTTTTTGCCGATTCTGAAATTATGATTTTTCCTCTCAGGCTGGTGGCTCCTTAGGTACTGTTTTGGCTTGGGATCTTAGGTGGCAACAACAACCAATTATACTCTCAGGAGCAGGGAATGGGGCTGGCAACACTGCAGTCCAGTCAATATCTGAAAGTGAGGTTTGGGAGATTCAATATGATCGTTGAGTGTGTTACCGTTGGGGATGATGGGAAGGTTAATTTGGTTTCGGTGGGAGATTCTAATTTGAATTATAGGAGGTTGTTTGATAGTGATGGGTTGGTCTCGTATACGGCGGTGAAATGGGCTTCGCCGGTGGAGTTTTCTACCGGGGGATATGGATTTGGGCTTCAATGGTGGGATCAGAGGAAACCGGGTCACCCGGTTTCTCAGTTTAAGGGTAACTGGTAAGAAAAATGTTCAACCTTGACTTATGTTGAGACTTGAATTGAATTATTTGAGATAATCCTTTTCATTTTGTTTCTTTAGGATAACTTATGAAACCAACTTATAGATTATATGAAAACAATTTATTTAATTTTTTAGTTTGTTATAGAAATAGCTTATACATAAGTCCTTACATGACATTAAGGGCCTCTTTGGATTGGCTTATTAAAGCTTATATAAGTTTTGTGACATTGGTTGGTAGTCTTAATTTGTTATGGAATTATTTTGATTTGTGCAGCGTGAAAAGGAAAAAAGAGAGCCCACTCAATCAGAAATGTTTGTTGAAACTCGAAAAGGAAATAAAGGAAAGGAACTGGATGTAGAAACTGGAAAAGTAATTGTATGTAACATTGTTTATATAATACGTTTGCTTAATATAATCGGCCAACATTGTCTATAATCGTAGCTAATATTTTTTTTTTTTGTAATTTATGCTAGTCCCAACTTCAAGAAATGGTTGAAAAGGAGGAAAGTGATACAGAAGCTTTTAAAGTTTTTTTTTTGGAAAGGAGTTTCCAGGCAGGGTACGCTGTTATGGGAGAAACATAACTAAAACTTCCTTAAAGAGAAAGGCAGAGATTAATGCTTTGAAACAAGCCCACAGTGAACAGGTCTCTACATTAAGGGACGAGTTTCAAGATAAGATTGATAGATTGCAAAATGCTTTTAAGACCGTAATACAACAATGCAATCCTCAAATTAATATAGAGTCAATTGAAGATTTGTTAGGATTATCTCATGGAGATGCTAATAGTTCCCCAAAGGATATAAGACCACAAATGCATTCATCTACATCAACTCATGCTCCAAGTCATGGAAAGGTAACCATATATACCAATATTATTGATTTATATTTTTATAATTATGTTATAATATCAAAATGGTTGTTAATGTATGCAAAAATTTGCAAGTAGTGACAACACCTAGAATAAAGTAAGTGGTTGCAATTGTTTAAGTAGTGACAACACCTAGAAGTGGCTGAAACTGTTTAATTTGTGCGAGCTTTCATTGATATTTCACAAACATACTTGCCTGGGATAAGATTATGGGACCCCCTTGTTTGATAACACTCACTATGTATGCTGTAAATTTATCCATATGATACTGAACACCAAAGAAGATACAACAAGTAAGAGTGTTCATTTACTCCAAAAAATAAACATAAAAGGATAGCACAAGTTATACATACATACATACATACAGTTAAAGGCTATTGTAAGTCCTGAATAGTGAGCCAAAAACAGAATGGTTTTCATAATTGATTTATTTGCTAGTAAGCTCATGTCACCTATTACAGTTTAGAACGAAAATTCACATCCATTAAAAACCTTCATAATTAGTTCACATCCATGAGATGTGAAGAATATAAACAATGTGTTTTGCTCATTGGTTTAGTTTTTATTTGTGCGAGGTTTAATTCTTGTTGATGTCTTAATTGTCCTTTGGACGAAAAATACTTATGGTTAATGTGTTTTATTTTATTTTCTTATGCAGCAATGTATCAATGAAGATGTTGAAAAGGACGATATAAATGATGAAATTCAAGAGGACGACATAAATGATAAAATTCAAGAGGACGACCTAAATGATAAAATTCAAGAGGACGACGTAGATGACGAATTTCAAGAGGACGACATAGATCTAGATGATGAATTTCAAGAGGAGGATATAGATGGTGAATTTCAAGAGGACGACGTAGATGAAGAATTTATGGAGGATGACATATCTAACGAATTTCAAGAGGACGATCTGGATGCTTTACTCCTAGAAGACAAACTTGAATGAGTTGGATGATGTCTTTTTTTTGGCTTGTAGTTGAAAGCATTAAACTCGAAATATGATTTTTGTTCTTTTGCTGAACTATGTTTTTAGTTATTTTACTAGGGTCATACTTCAAAGTATTAAAAGTAATATTGTTACGTTAGGCATTTTGTGTACTCTATATACTATATCTTGAATTAAAGTTTGAACTCGATTTTATTATATTACAACTTTTATGGATGTATGGTTTAAGTTATATAATCAATATTATTTTTGAAGCCAATTATTATTGACTATATTATTTTGATAATAATTGCAAAATTGTATATTTTATGTGGACACTATAAAACAACAACCTATAAGCTATGGCTACACTTCAAAAACGATCTTCCTGATTCAGGTTTAAGGCAACGATTGTTAATTGTAGCCGAATTTGGCAACGCAACGCTTAAAAAACGTTGTCTCAGAGGCCGTAAATAATCGTCCCCTATTCCTTTACTATAGGCGACGTTTTTCAAAAGCGTTCCCAAAAAACATAAAAAAACGTCGCCTCAAACAATAGGCAACGCTCGCACAGGAGACGCCTAGAAAACGTCCCCTATTGTTTTAGGCAACAATTTTCAGAGTTCTGGCAATGTTTTTCAATTGTTGCTGGAGAGCCTAAATGTTGTAGTGTTATTTATTCTATCTCTCATCAACCTGTCCTTATGTGTGTGACCCTGTAGGTTTTCGCGACATTGGTAATTATATTAAATCACACATTTAATATAATAAACAGTGAGCGGTATCTAGCAACACATCACTGTTACCCAAGTCACGAAAATGTCATGTGATCTGACCAAACCTTTTCCGTGATAATATTTGTGTTGTACAATTACCCTTTTGCCCTCATGTCTATATTGAACACAAGGCATACACTGTGTCACCCTTGTCCAGTTCAATATTGGGCCCTTAGACATTTATCCTGTTATGCAGGATGAGCAAATTCCATCTAGGTCACTCATGTCCCTTAGCATGCTTTGTGAAGTACCCATCAACCGTCTTTATAGTCATCCAGTTACGGATGACGTTTGATCAGCAATAAAGTACTTGACTCTACATCTAGGGTCCATAGTGGTTTTAGGTCGAAGGGTGGTATACACCATTATCATCATGAGAATAACTTATGACACTTTGCATAACATTCTATGTAGTATTCTCATAGCGGGTCAATCCAGTATAAATATTACTCCTAATATTCATACCTATGTCAAGACTTGATAACTCCTTATCTATGATCCATAAGATGTGATCATCAATCTATCTTCATAATAATCTTAATGCTTTAATGTTATCCCACTTCACATTAAAGCTTGACTACGGATACTTTAAGAATAGTGTCTTATGTTTAATGGGATCTCATGATTAAGTCACACTTAACATTTCATTAAACAAATAAACCATTCTAGGGACTTTATTATTTTGGAAAGCAAACATAATAAAAAAATGCCTTTTATTATTAATAAATAATTCGATACAAGCACCAAAAGTATTGGCCTCTAGGGCTTACACCAACAATCTCCCACTAGCACTAGAGCCAATCAAGCATACCCTTAATACCCATAGATCTAGTATGTCCATCATGCTTCAGCTGCGCAAGAGGCTTTGTTAATGGGTCAGCAACATTGTCAAGTTTAGGTACTCTGCATATTTTCACATCTCCCCGATCGATTATCTCTCGAATGAGATGATAACGCCTAAGTATGTGTTTGGATCGTTGGTGAGATCTAGGCTCCTTAGCTTGTGCGATAGCACCATTGTTATCACAATAGAGATCAATGGGATCCATAATGCTATGGACTATGCCAAGTTCACTAATGAACTTCTTGATCCAAATAGCTTCCTTTGTTGCAGTTGAGGCAGCAATATACTCAGCCTCGGTTGTAGAATCAACAACTGTATCTTGCTTTGAAATTTTCCAGCTCACAGCGCCACCATTTAAACAAAACACATAACCAGATTGCGATCTAAAGTCATCCTTATCTGTCTGGAAGCTAGCATCGGTGTATCCAATTACAGCAAGCTCTTCCTGACCTCTATATATCAAGAATGATTCCTTAGTCCTTCTCAAGTACTTAAGGATATTCTTGACAGCTACCCAATGAGCATCACCGGGATTAGACTGGTACCTACTCGTTGCACTTAAAGAATACGAGACATCTGGTCGAGTACATAGCATGGCATACATGATAGATCCTATTGCAGATGCATATGGAATCTTATCCATGCGATCCCTTTCTTCCTTACTTGAAGGGGATTGTGTTTTTGACAGACACATGCCATGTTGCATATGTATGTATCCTTTCTTGGAATCATGCATATTAAAGCGTCTCAACACCTTTTCTATGTATGTACTCTGACTTAGGCCAAGCAGTTTTTGTGACCTATCTCTATAGATCCTGATTCCTAATATATAGGCTGCTTCACCTAGGTCCTTCATTGAAAAGCATTTCCCTAACCAAGTATTCACTTGTTGCAAGGTAGGGACATCGTTTCCAATGAGAAATATGTCATCTACATATAATACCAGGAATACGATCCTGCTCCCACTAAACTTCTTATAGACACAAGGCTCATCTTCATTCTTGATGAATCCATATTGTTTTACTGTTTCATCAAAACGAAGATTCCAGCTTCTGGAAGCTTGCTTCAATCCATAAATTGATCGATGTAACTTACATATCTTTTGGGCTTCTTCTGGTATGTCAAATCCTTCAAGTTGTGTCATGTACACATCCTCAAGAATATTCCCATTAAGGAAAGCAGTTTTGACATCCATCTGCCATATTTCATAATCATGATATGCAGCGATAACAAGTAAAATCCGAACAGATTTAAGCATTGCAATTGGTGAAAAGGTTTCATCATAGTCAACCCCATGAATTTGTTTATAGCCTTTTGCAACCAGTCTTGCCTTATAGGTATGTACCTTACCATCCATGTCAGTCTTCTTTTTGAAGACCCACTTGCATCCTATAGGGTTAACTCCTATAGGAGGCTCTACCAAGGTCCAAACCCGGTTTGTGTACATGGAATCCATTTCAGATTTCATGGCTTCTAGCCACTTCTCGGACTCAGGACCAGTTATGGCCTCTTGGTAGGTCGCAGGCTCATCTTGATCCATGAGTAATACATCACCCTGATCACTTATGAGAAATCCATATCTCTCATGTTGTTGACGTATCCTGCTTGACCTACGCTGGTCTTGTTCTACTTGAGCAGGTTGCTCTTCCTCAACTACTTGTGTTTCATGCTCTAATTCCTCCATAGGTGTATCAATGCTTTGTGGTTCTTGAATTTCTTCAAGCTATATTTTCCTCCCACTGATTCTTTTGGAAATAAAATCCTTTTCCAGTAAAACTCCAGTTCGAGCGACAAACACTTTGCCCTCAGAAGGATTGTAGAAGTAATACCCTCTTGTTTCTTTAGGATACCCCACAAATAAGCATTTGTCAGATTTGGGCTCAAGCTTAGTTGGAATTTGTCATTTCACATAAACTTCGCAACCCCAAATCTTCATGTAAGACATATGTGGTTTCTTACCACTCCATATCTCATATGGTGTCTTCTCAACCTTTTTGGATGGAACCCGGTTAAGTGTGTAAGCTGCAGTCAATAGTGCATGTCCCTAAAAGGAGTTCGCTAGATCGGCGTGACTCATCATGGATCGGACCATGTCTAACAAGGTTCGATTTCTTCTCTCAGATACACCATTCCATTGTGGTGTTCCGAGAGGAGTAAGTTGGGATAAAATCCCACATTCCTTTAGATGGTCATCAAACTTTAGGCGTAAATATTCACCGCCTCGATCTGATAGAAGAACTTTAATATTCTTACCTAGTTGGTTTTGTACTTCATTCTTGAATTCCTTAAATTTTTCAAAGGTTTCAGATTTGTGTTTCATTAAATACACATAACCATATCTACTGAAATCATCAGTAAATGTGATGAAGTATTGAAAACCTCCTCTGGCTGGTATGTTCAGTGGTCCACATACATCAGTATGTATGAGGGCAAAAAGATCATTATCCCTTTCACCTTTTCCTGTGAATGGGGACTTTGTCATCTTTCCAATTAAACAAGATCTGCATGTCTCATATGATTCATAATCAAAAGAGTCCAAGAGTCCATCTTTATGGAGTTTGGAAATGCGTTTCTCATTTATGTGGCCTAAGCGATAGTGCCAAGGGTAGCTTGGATTTAACTCATTAGGTTTAATCCGTTTAGTATTAATGTTATAAATTGGCATTTCAAGATCAAGGACATATAGTCCATTGTTTATTTGTGCAGAAGCATAGAATATATCATTCAAATAAATAGAGCAACAAGTACGAGATGTTACCATTTGCTCTTCATGGTTATCACACTTCAGCATAGACATCAACTGGGGAAACCCCATTCTGTATGGTCTATGGCATGGAAGCTGTCCTACCCATCGAAGCTCAGATTCCTTCTCTGAGGATTATGAAAAATGCAGACTTAGACGAGAATGAGTGGATTCAAAACAGGCTAGACCAGTTGAATTTGATTGACGAAAAGAGACTTGTTGATGTCTATCACAGTCAGATGTATTAGAAACGTATGATCAAGGTATTTAACAAGAAAATTAAACATCGGGTATATCAGGCTGGTGACTTGGTAATAAAGCGCGCCATTCTACCGCAAGGTGATCCCAGGGGAAAATGGACTCCCACCTACGAAGGCCCATTTATTGTCAAGAAAGTATTTTTGGGCGGTGCTATGATTCTAACCACCATGGACGGTGAAGATTTCCTGCACCTTGTGAATACGGACATAGTCAAAAGATACTACGCATGAAAATGACCCGCTAGATTGACTGGCCTAAGCAAAAATAAGGGCATCCCGGTGAATCAAAAGGGTTCAGGAAAAAATTAGGGATATATATAAAAGATTGTACACCCGGCAAATCGAAAACCTGAAAAGGCAATTTGGGCAAAAAAAGGGTATCCTGGTGGACTGAAAAC